GACTGTGGGAGAAAATGAAGTCTGCTCCCATATGTCCACAGTGATAAGTGGAGTAACTTTAGCCCACATAACAATTTCTTCCACTATGAGTGGCAGCATTTAATTCCTGGGGAGGAGACAAACAAATATTGCATTTGGGGGCACCATTATATTAAAAGCAAACTTCCTCCCACTGTCCAATACTGGCAGCCATAAAATATACAAAGAGCCCTGCTGGATCAGACCAGTGAACAATCTTGCCAATCATATTGTTTCACAGATTGGCCAACCAGTTGCCCTGGAGGGCATAGAGGCCATGGCCTGATACTGTCTCCTAGCACAGAGTTTCAGAGGTTTGCTCCCTCTGAATATGAAGGCCAGTGACAGAAACCATACAGGAAGGAATGGTAGTACCATTTGGTGCATAGCATAGGGGTCCAAGCAATATACAGGCATTCCTTTTTATTCCTGCTCCCACCTATCATAATGACAGGCATTTTTGCTACTTATGGAATCAAAAGGCTGGGATGCAAATACATTTCACTGCAAAACTGCTACTAGGTCATTTGGCTTCAATTCTTTTGGAAAAGCAATGACTGCAGATAGAAATAAAAGTTTAAAAGACTGTGGTATTGAGAAAAATTAATTCACAGAAGTATTTTACTAGGAGACTGTGGGTGGTAAATACAGACTGTAGATTACTCTTAAATATACACTCTGAAATGTAATTTCTTTCTATCAATTAATTATTCACAATACAATTCCTTCTTGAAGCATCATCTTTCCCTAATGCTGTTCTTCTCATCACTTTCTGCTGAATTAATGACCAAATAACCAGCAAATACTACTTTAAAATTACTGTTTTGTAAGGCCGGTTTATACTGTTCAAATCTGATACCATTCCCCCCCCCCATTTACTTACAATGGTCACTTTCACCACAGCAATTTATTTCATTTCTCAACATCTTAACCAGATGAGAAAACCACCAATATGGAAAGAAAGCCTAGTACTATTTTTTTCAGCCAGAAAACAGAAGCATTCATGCCTAGTACTCGTGTAAAACCTATGAGAGGAAACTTGATAGGTAAATTCATTTATTCTAAGGAACACCTACTAAAGTAGAATAAGGTATACTCTGGCATTCTAAATATTCCAGGCAAAAGTGTTCTTAATACTTATTCATGTAACATCAATTTCTAATATGTATGAACACATTTTTTGTCTATCTGCAACTGCAGAGCAGTAAAACAGTCTATTCAAGCTTTCTCTAATTAAAAGGCACCTGTAGTGGCAGCATTATTTTATTGCATGAATAAGAGGCTACTTGCTACTAGCCATGAGAAGTAGGCAAAATGTGTGGTGATTAAAAGGCAGATGAGATCTGAAAGATCATCTCTCCACTTCGTATGCGGCTTATAGCATCTCTCAGTTGGCTTCTATAAGAATATATTCTATCAAGCAAACAGAATGTTGGCATCAGGACCATTGTTGTGAGATACTGCTAATTCTATCAGTTGTAGTAATGAAAATGAATCAATCAAACCAGATGAGTTTATGTCTGAGTGTTTAGCAGATTCATATGTCAAATATTTGCAAAACAATTCCCAGTATACACAGCCCAACTGAGGAACATTAGTACATCCTAGAAAGCTGGCTCCCACATCCACTGTGTGTTTGATAGAGGGATGAAGCTGATTGGCAGACCCTGACATGACAGTAAAAGTACTTCTGAGCCTATCTTGTACTGTGTGACATGTGGAAATGCTGTTGCTGCAGGACAGAAAGCAGAAGAGAGACATTTGTAAACTGCATGTGCATTCTAATCAATATGTGTTTTATATTTGAATTACGGATGTAAGAAAAGCAAAAATTTGCTTTTTGTGTTAAAACTGTGATGGATCAATATATATATTTTATCCTTTTAAAAACACGGATTGAAAGTGGTTGCCAGCAATAAAGCATATGTAAGATGATTAAATATTCACTCCAAAGCCAGAGCCTGGTTCTGGAAAGTGGTCTTATGCTCACAAGGACAGTTAGACTTGTGAAATGCAAGTAGAATACTTTCTTTCTCTACTTCTCCTGCCCAAAGAGTGAAATGCGCAGGAAAAGAAATCTGTCCACTTCGTAGAATTCTATTTGCTTAAAAAAAATCATTTGATTGCTATGTATTACAACCTCTAATACAGCCTGCTGTGTCTCTAAAGGTACAACTGAATTTTGTCATAATCTGGAAGACTAAAATTAATTGATTTTACCAGACATTATTTGATGCCCTGCCCCCTTTCCCTGTATCCTTGAAACATAAATTTTAGAAAAGTAAAGTTGCTACAAATATTTACAATAAATTAATTTTGAGAAAATAAAATCTTTATAAAATCTTTATAATTGCCTTCTGAGAAAATATGTGCATTGTAAATCCCAGGCAGTAGAATGGTTCCGCGGACATTCAATGTGCATAGTTTTGCTTTCTTTCTAATCAAAGCATCCTATTTCTCCCAAGTCTGGATTTTGGCCATAGACGGAAGAAATGTAAAACTGTTACCAGTTCCTACTGAAGCCCTCATCTTTCATAGCTTTCACTAGCCAGTCCCTCTCTTTATCATCATCAGAGTCACTCGCATCACTCGAATCTGCAGCAAGGAGACGGGAATAGTTAATTTTTTTTTGCCGTGGCAACTTGGAATGGACAATCAAGAACAAGATTAGCCAGAGTACTAAGGTGATGGAGCACCCTCTGTAGAGCACTGCCAGGCCAAAACTGTTCACAACAAACCCTCCTGCAAAGCTTCCCAGACTGGCTCCACATCCACAAGAGAGGCCTTGTAAGACAAGATGCAGAGACCTCTCTGTGCTAGGAGTGGCAATGTCATCTGTCAGCATGTTCACAGCCCACCACAAGGCCCCCTTGCTAAAGGCACAGAGGATCTGGATTGGCAGTGCTGCCCAGGCGTTCCACAGGAATGAGTAGAAGAGCAGCTGTGAAGCCAGGCAGCTTAAGCTCAAGGCAACTGTGCCAGCACCGGAGAGTGCCCTTAGCAACTTGCTTTTGAAGATGTAGAGCAGAATTTCAGCAATCAGTCCAATGGCCACCACAAGGCCCATGCTCAACTCACTGCTGCCTTGGTCTTGCATTTGCCAGAAAAGAAAATTCTGCACAGCTGATCCAATGGCCCCCGTGAGGAAGACGGTGACAGCGCACAGGATGGTTCGGCCATCGCTCCCAATAAGGTTCAAAGCTTTGCCCGTTTTATTGACATGTTCGTTTTTCTGAGACACAGGGATGGGGAAGAAGACACTGACAAGTAATGTTAAAGTTATCAATAAGGCATAGCCATAGAAATGTACTGCAAACCGTGGGACATTTGTGCTCAAGAAGCAGCTCAGCTGATCCACAAATACTGCTACACTGCAGGCTGCCACAGACGCTCCCAAGTAACTCCAGATCCAAAGATTCTCAAATTTGTCTGCAGCATCAACAAAATCAAGGTACTCATAGAGGCTGTCATCAACCATCCACCCAAGAGGTGCTGCCAGGAGTTCCCAAAGCACAACAACACCTAGAACCATGAGAAAGACCTGGTGCTCCCTGTTCAAGAAGTTAACACCTTGCAGCAGCTGAGAGCTTACATCCTGTGCTCTTCCCCACAGGCCTGATAGGTTTTTTAAAATGTAGGAAGTCTCTGTAAAAGGTACTGGGGCTGTGTGAAGTGTGAAGTGAGCAATGGTCTCTGAAGAGCTGTTTTCCTCAAAACTCTCACTGATATTCATGATGCCACTCATGGGAATCTTGGTTGCCTTCACAGATCCTTTCACAGGAAGAGTCTTTAACGTTTGTTCCGTTGTGGCAATTTCTTTCTCAAAAGTGGATGTCTCACCCAAAGAGCCATCAGTGAACTGCTGTTTATCAGTATTAATGATGACTTGGTTGTTTATCCCAGAAGAACTGTTTATAGAGGATTTTTTTTTTAATGACAGATGTGCTTCTGTTGGCATTTCGGCGGTCACCGTGTCATCAGAGGCCATTCCAACTGATCCAGTAGACAGTATTTTGCTATCAGTGATGGGTCTGAAATTCACAGTACTAAGACTGTTTGTACTAATTTCAGGCTCCTGGGTTGCAGTCAGTAGTTTCGCTGAGTGCTGGCTCACATTACAATATTTATAGGCTATGTCCATGCTCAGAGGTGGGACAAGAGTCAGAAGCAAGCCTGCTCCGACTGAGCACAACAGAGATCCAGTAATGAGAACTTTCCTTTTATTGTGGGTTTTTGCTAGGTAGGAGCATAGTGGGGCCCAAAGGGAAGTTATTAGGTGTTTCAGCCCTATAATAATCCCTACTAACGGTGCAGTCAACCCCAGCTGCCGAAAGTACAGAGTTAAAAAGGGGGCTGTGCAGGCATTGCCTGCTCCATAAAGAAAACGGAAAAGGCTCGCAAGAGTTAGTGCTTTGTTCACATCCCACTGGTTGTTTGTACTCATGGCTTCAGGTGCAGGCTTGGCTCCTAACTGTGCCCTGCAAATTAATAAAGGAAATAACTGTCAGAATTGCCTAAGTAAGTTAGGAACAGCACAATAAACATTATCTCATACAATCAATGAAACGTCATGTAGTCAAAATCTGGAGGGAAAAGGTTGCAATTCTCAAAGTTCAGTCACAAAAACACCCTGTATCAGCTACAAATTATAGGAAAATTTAAGTTTTGAGTCAAGCAAAACTTTCTTTGATTTGAGACAAATTGTCTGAGACAATTTGAGCTTTTCCAGATGATTAAGATCTTTTTTTTTAAAAAAAAATAGCACTGTACTCATGCTAACCCTGATTCAATGCCAGTCATATACCATTCCATTCTCACATAATGAATGGAAGAGGGTTAGCAATCTGCCTCGTCTGAAAAAAAAGTTTTTAAAATAAAAATGGATCTGAGCAGCCCATATGCCGATTTGTAGTCTAAAACTTTAAAAAGAGTCCTAGAATAGGACTGCCATTCTCCAGGTGGTGGCTGGAAATCTCCCGAAATTACAACTAGTTTCCAGAAAAAAGTTTGAGTCCAGTGGCACCTTTAAGACCGACAAAGTTGTATTCTGGGTATAAGCTTTCAAGTGCATGCACACCTCTTCTGATACACATTAAATCTTACACTTTGAATTAAACTCTATTGGTCTTAAAGGTGCCACCGGACTCAAACTTTATTCTCCTGCTTCAGACCAACACAGCTATACACCTGAACTGATCTCCAGGTTACAGAGATCAGTTCCCCTCGAGAAAAAGCTGCTTTGGAGGATGGACTCTGTGGCATTATACCTTGCTAAGGTTCCTCCCCTCACCAAACCCTCCCCTCGCCAGGCTCCACCCCCAGATCTCCAGGAATTCCCCAACCAGAACTAGCAACCCTATTCTAGAGAGCCCCGACAGATATAAATTTAAAGGTAAACAAAATTATCTGGGTAGAGTGGGTGTGGAGTATTGAACATCCAAGGAAGTATCCAATAGGTGCCTATGACACTTGTGCAACTACATACCACCCAGCACTCACAACTGCAACACCACAGAGATAAGAGAAGAATCACATTTCCCAGAGGCAATATATTGCAAGTGAAGAACTGGGGGGGGGGGGGGGGGGTTTGTTTTTTATATATTTTTGCCATAAAAATATCTATAACTGATTGGGCTAGAACCTTACCAACTTTTATGTTTTATTTTGATTTGTGGATTTTTAAAGGGTTTTTTCCCCACTCACCTACAATTTTAATAGGAGATTTCACTGGCTGTTTTGTTGTTGTTGCATATTTTCCCCTAGTTTGATCTGGTGATATCCGAGCTTTTTTTTTCAGAGCAGGCAACATAATTTTAAATAAATAAATGCATACATATAACTGAGAAGCTTACCATGTGTGTGTGGGAGGGGAAGACATGGAAAAGCCCTTAGAGCTCTAAAAGTACCTATTTGTGGATGCCCAGTTTTGTGAAGGCCTTTGAGGTTCAGGCTGGGTTTTGTTTTGTTTTTTTAAATGTGGTTAGACATATTTTAGAAGCTCCCTTGCAGGATAAAATGACTATGAACATTTCACATTTTCTCCCAACAATATGAGTCAGATCGACTGAGCAATGAATGTGTGAGGATTCCTGAATCAAATCAGGAAGTGAAGAATACAAATTTCCCCTATTAGTGAATGCCCAGAAGTTCAATCAATACTAGATACATAAATCAGGAGCCATACAGCATGTATTTGTGCCAGCTTTACCCTGCAACAACATGAAACTTCACAAAGCTGATTATAGAGGGTGCACTATTCTCCTATGACTATCTCTGTGTATCATCGTAGAAAATGAGATCCAGTCCAAATTGTGAGAAATGGACATCATTTTAACTTTGCACTCCAGGAGAATAAGAAAACTCCTAAGATAAAAACGGTAAGATGAACATCAGAAGTGAGTCTAGGGTTATTTTTAGAACTAGTTATTTTTGGTAAACGTTCTTACTAGTTCTCTGGATAAGTTATACTGCAAATGCCTTAAGTCTTGAAAAACAGAGGAATAAGAATGCCCAAAACTCTCCCCCCTCAAATTGGAATAAGAATACCAAAACTCTCCCCCCTCAAATTGGAAACTTGTATTCCTAGTTGCAAAGCTAGTGCAAATCCTGACTCCAACTGTGATCTCACAGTGGTGCCATCCTGGATACTCAGCATTTTTGCAGAGGGTTTTTATTCAGTTATGGGACTGTTACAGCAGACCCCTCCTTGCTTAGAAACAGATGAAGAAGAAATATTAGAATGCTATCATGTAATCTGTGGCTGAACAAAGGCCAGCTACTAAAAGGAAACACTGAAAGGTTTCAAAGGACACAAGGAAGTGATTTCTGTTCACAATTTTGGACTTGGATTTTCAGAAAGGAAGAATAATGACAGCCGAAAGAAACCAAAGAACCTTGCCCTATTAGCAGAATAAAACTTTGCTGGTCCTAAAGGTGCCACTGGACTCAAACTTTGTTCTGCTGCTTCAGACCGACATGGCTACCCACCAGACTGAAAAGTGGCAACCCTGAAATCCTCAGGATCAGTGTATGCCGTTCACACAATCGATCGTTATCCCTTGAGTAACTCTCCCCTTGGCCTATCGTCTCCAGCTTAACCAAATCCAGGCCACGCCTCCCTTCCATCCTGCATGGGGTTTGGGAACGAGTCTTTCTCCCTCTCCCTCGCACCTTGGGGAGGTTGCCATGACGACCACCACCGCCGCCTGCTTGTCTCTCTCCCTCGTGCTTATTCTCACACGCGCACAGAGATACCCATACCTGAAAGGAGGAGCTGAGCCGCTTCTTTCACGCGGAGCCCAGGCTCGGCCTGCTGTCATAGAGAAACTCACCGCGCGTGCGCCAAAAGCACCTGTCTGTAGAGAAACAGATGGCGGTCGGCTCAGCCACGCCCCCCCCCCCCCCCCCCCCCGTCTTGCCCTTTGTCGTAATGGCTTTTCAGGTTGCCTCGAAAACTCCCTCTCCGCCTCTTTTCTCTTGGAGCTCCTCGAGGGTGACAATGAGCCTGAGGACGAGGGCTACGCTGTTGCTAGGATACGGCGGGTGGTGTCGGAGACTATGATGAATCCCCAGCGTCAGGCGTGAGGAAGTGAAAGTAGTTGCCTAATGCCCCCTGGTTATGAGCCTGGTCATCCCCGCCTAACTGTTACCTTAGAGGTACATTTTGGACCTTCAGAGTGTTTTTCCGCACTGTCACGTGTTTCCTTTCTGGGGCAGAACTCTAGTTCCCCTTCTGAAAGTTGCCCACGAGCTTGGAAAGCAAAGCATTACATATCCACCCCCAGCATTAAAGCGCATGCTGCGTTCTGCTGAGTGCACCACACCTTCAGTCAATATCTGTCCGCAGGACTAGAAGGGACAGCCTTTGGTTCCAAGAATTATTCCTTTATTCCAGTATTACTAGGTCAACACCCTTAATACTAATTTTCCACAGCCCACCATTTCAGATATACCTGGGATGAAATGGGGAAGAGGAAGTTGCGCTTATCTTCAGTGTTCTCCCTCTCTCCACATGTTTTCAAAGGGGATTAGAAATCTTTGTGTCGTGGATCTGATTTGTTTACAGAACCCTGCACTACATAATGCTGCTTTGGAAAAATCTTTTAAAAGCCAGGCTTCGGTTCATTTGAGAGAACACAGACCTTTCTGTTTGAATGGAAAGGCTCTCTAATCAAGGCAGAAAGGTCCTGATGCCCAAGTAACATGGGATGAGGAGATGCATATATATGAAAACAAAAACCCCATGAATGCAGCAGACTTATATTTAACTGCATAAAACTTCCAGGGGAGGTCTAAGTTTGTTCCTTAGGTCTAGGCTAATTTCAAGGGGTGATTTTGGGGGGGGGGGGTGTTGAAAGACCTGAGTCAGATTGAGGTGATGAGAGAGGGGGTCCTACGACTGATAGACAACTTAAAAACTAATAAATCACCAGGCCCAGATGGCATATATCCAAGAATTCTGAAAGAACTCAGATGTGAACTTGTGGATCTCCTGACAAAAATATGTAATCTTTCATTAAAATCTGCCTCCATTCCTGAGGACTGGAAGGTAGCTAATGTCACTCCCATCTTTTAATAGGGTTCCAGAGGAGATCTGGGAAATTATAGGCAAGTCAGTCTGACGTCAATACCGGGTAAGTTGGTGGAAACTGTTATTAAGGAAAGAATTAGTAGGCACATTGATGAACAAAAACTATTGAGGCAGACTCAGCATGGGTTCTTGTCTCACTAAACTGTTAGTGTTCTTTGAGGGCGTGAACAAACATGTGGACAAAGGGGACCCAATAGATGTTGTTTACCTTGACTCCCAGAAAGCTTCTGATGAAGTTCCTCATCAAAGGCTCCTAAGTAAGCTCAATAGTCACAAGATAAAAGGACAAGTCCTTTTGTGAATCCAAGACTGGCTAATTAATAGGTAACAGAGAGTGAGTATAAATGGGCAGTTTTCTCAGTGGAGGGTGGTAAGCAGTAGAGTACCACAGGGATCAGTACTCAGTCTGATGCTTTTTAACTTGTTTATTAATGATTTGGAGTTGAGAGTAAGCAGTGAAGTGGCTAAATTTGCAGATGACATGAAGTTGTTCAGGGTGGTGAGAACCAGGGAGGATTGAGAGGCACTCCAAAGGGATCTGTCGAGGATGGGCAAGTGGGCGTCAATGTGGCAAACGGGATTCAGTGTGGCCAAGTGCAAAGTGATGCACATTGGAGCCAAAAATCCTAACTCTAAATACACGTTGATGGGGTCCAAACTGGCAGAGACTGACCAAGAGAGAGATCTTGGAGTCATAGTAGATAACTCACTAAAAATATCGAAACAGTGTGCAACTGCAAGGTCAACACTATCCTCGGGATTATTAGGAAGGGAATTGAAAACAGATCCGCCAATACCATAATGTCCCTATATAAATCAATGGTGTGACCTCATTTGGAATACTGTGTACAGTTCTGGTCACCACACCTTAAAAAGGATATTATAGCT